CGGGTGTTTCCGTATCACTGATAACAATGATTTCATCGTCGCTGATAACAATTGGTTCTTCATTAATCGATGAAAAATTTATAGCGGGGAGCTCATCCTCACTGCTGCTGCTAATAATAATTGGTTCGTTGTAAGACGTTAGGTCGATAGCAGGAAGCCCATCCTCACTGCTGCTGCCAATAATGATTGGTTCATCGTTGAAAGAAAATCGGGTAGCCATGGTTGATAAAGCAACACTTGTAGAGTTCGATACACTTGTAGAGTTCGATAAGAAGAGCTTATATATTCTCCAAGTTTTAAAGTAATTTTTATTAATCCGCATAAATATTAAAATCATTTATACTGGTTGTCGGAAATTTGTACCATCAAATTTTTGTTTTTCTTCCTCTGCGTGTTTCCTCTTTCATTTTGAATTCGACTTTAATAATTTAACATAGTCAAATTGTATTGGTTGCTACCATCCGTTATCTCCATCATTCGGGCTTAAGCAGTATGAACATCCGGGACAAGTGTGTCAATATACACATATTTCACACATCCCAGTCGAGTATGTGCATGAACAATCAGGGGCAACTAAAACATTGTTGATAATCTTTTCATCATCGTTTGTTTCGTCGGGATGTTTCCCATTGTCGTTTTCATCCGTTCCAACACCACATTTATCTGTACCGTTGATCTCTTGTAGCATATCTTCAACTTCATTAGATCGTCGTAGCATTTGATACCATTGATTTATAGAAAGATTAATTCCCTTTCTACTAGGGAAAAATTTTCCACGGTCTTCTTTTCGGTAGTATTCGCGGATGCAGATATATGTTTTCCCGTTCCACCTCTGTGCGACAACATGTCTCTCTTTCGATAAATGGATACGTTTGGTTGCCATGACAGTTTCTGCATTCTCCATAATAGGTCGTAGTGTTGGCGTGAACGATGCGCTAGCATTTGGCCCAATTTCAACTTTCTGTTTCTTGGTAGGCTGCATAACGCGTTGCATAGTCGCCTTTGCCTTCTCGGTGATCTTGGAGTCAGTGAGATCGGTTGTTGGCTTATAGAAGTTCATTCTTGCAGAATTATATGTAAACAGAGGAGAAATAACAGTCAGAGAGATGATGTTGACTTCAACGACAAAATAATTTAATTCGAATAGGAACTAGGAAATTATACCAAACTATATCTTAACCCCCAACTTGACCGGGCAATAGATGCCAGCACACATCAAGCTAGTAAAATAAAGTAAAGTAGTATTAATTATAAGATCCATATAATCATATCAACAATCATAAAAATAATAGTTAGTTAGCATAAAACAATAATAGCAACCATGAAAGTACAGCCATTGCGAGGTGCAAACACAACTGACCGATTGGTTCATTATATCTAGTATTAATTATGGCATTGAACTTCGTAAGAAACCATTGGCTTAAAATTACAAAGTAACAATAATAATTAATAATCAATACACCAATAAACCGGTGCACAGTGATAGTAACATAGGTTCCATTAAGGTACTGATAATGATTCAACTGGCTTACTGCCTTACAGAAAACATAAAATGAAATAATCATTAAATCAAAATGAAATTAATTACTAATGTAAGAATAGCAAATAAAGGTGCTGTCTAACATGATTATTAAAGTATAATAATCATAACATCTCTCATAGTAACAGTTCAATCACAATAATCATAAAAAGGTACA